ATAGTTGTGCTCCAATCTAGCTGACACAAGTACAGGCACTAGATAAAAGTTGGAAGTCGTGACACAATTATTTGCATTAAAACCTTTCTTTATGAAGTCATGGAAAAAATACGTAAACAGATACATATTTGTCATACACTGGGGAAGAGAGACAAAAAAGCCAATGGAGACTTGGCTACGAAAATCATTATGTTAACATAGGTATTACAAAGATGGCTGAGACACATACAGTGTGCATGCAACTTACATGAAGGCCTATATGCAGGAACAGCAAATGTGGGGGGGGTGAGGGGCTGCACATACCAAACACACATTAATTTACTAATTTTTCAAAGTTAAATTTTAAAAATAACAGATAAAATAAGTAAGGTCCTAAAGTTACAATCTCAAATTTGTATTAGACATCCCTTAGGATTTTAAAAAATGCTTAGCCCTCAGCAGCTCTCTATACCATCCAGATCACAAAAAAACGTAACAATATAAGGGGAAAGGCTAAATGAGATTACCTTCTCTAAATGACAAAGCTATTTGCGTTTAAGTAGTATGCAAATAGTAATTACATTTTCAATTTGCATAATAATTAAACAATCCTTTAAAGACGTGTCTTATATAAGCTTCACAATTGCTAATTTCTTGTCTTAAACTAACCCTTAGTTTACCTACAGAACCTTTACAGAACCACTGCAACTTCCTGGGAAAAAAACCTCTCTTGTTACTGTAACTGGTCACTGTATTGAATGACTGTACACACGTAACCTGCTTGGTGTTATTTTGCATGTTAGACACTGATGCAAGTCATTACAGACTAGATTTTTACACATGATATGAAAACAAATGTATTTCTCATCTTAGATAGATAAAAATCAAACTTTGATATGAACATTCTAAACCACATTTTTCTCACCTCCCACCCAAGACTTTTTTAATGTACAAAAGAGTTGGTATTTTGACCCATATTTTTCATGCACCAGTTAACTAGAAAATTACAGAACCTGAAGAACTCAGATAAAATTCATCAAGGGTATTAAAACAACACATGCCTCCTCCTTCCAGTAGGATGGGATGCTACTGGAATGTGAATTAAAGACTCTCAAGCCTTTGAAAAACGAGGACCTCTGAATTTTTAATTTTGTTAACTAATCATTAGAGAACTGGAAATTGCTGTGTTTCTGACCGTTTGATAGGTAGCTGCTTCCATAAAGTACATTTTTAATTTTGTAAGAGTTGGCCTGTTTCCCAGCAGCACAATGATTTGTTGGACCACTACTTACAGCACCTACAGCATAATTAAATATTAAGTCTCCCTTTGATGTATGCAAAGCCTGACTAAGAGGATTAGTAGACACTCTGAGGGTGGCTTTCACACATTTTCTGGTAATTGAACACCGCAATATCATTAAATTTATCTTTACTCAATAGGAATTCACATACAACCTTCACAACATTTAGTGTCCCTTTCTGTATGAAGAAATGGTAGAGGAAAAGAGGGATCTTCTAAAAGCATGCCAAAAATGCTGAGCAAGTACAGATAGAACAGTCTGGAAGCAAGATCATGAACACATTTTTGAAACATTTACGATTTAAACTTCATTAATAAATCTTTTAAACACAATCCTCTAGTTAAAAACAGCATTCAGGTCCTCCGGCCATATTTTTTTTCCATAATGTATCAAGGGCTTTACTACTTTGTGGGATGAGAAAGGATGACCAATTTAACAAAGGTGTGGTTGAGTTAGAAAAACAGATACCTACAGAAACAGACAGATATCTCAACATGTCTGAGCACACTTCTGAAAGATGTAATTCCTTATGTCTACTTTTGACCCTGGTTTACCATGGGTCAAATTGCATTTACCGAGCAATTTGATAGAACTTTCAGACTGTGCTTTAACTTCCCCTTCACAATGGTGCTTTTACATCCTCACACTTGAAGCACTCACCTGTGTATGAGAAACTTAATTAATCCCCAAAAGTTGGGATTCAAATCTCTCTTCATTTTTCAGCAGTCACTCAACTACTGAATTATGCAGTGTTATTGTTTTTGTAATGTATCATTAAGGATTATGAAATGCATCTAGCAAAAATACAGAGAAAACAGTCTGCAATGTGCTGTCTTATTATTGTCTCCTGTTGTTAATTCACAAAATGAACAAATTCAATCAAATAAGGTCATCATTTCCCCTTTCTAGCACTATCTTCTAGACTAGTGTTTGACATCAGCTGACTAGAAGATTAAAAAAAAAAATAGTTTAGTTAATCACTTTCCTTCTTGGATGTTAGTGAAGAGCTCTGAACTTCAATTACGGGTACCTAACAGAGAAACTAATATGACTGTTCTGTCTAAACCACTCATTAGTTATCTAGCAGAAGATATTCACTCAAAACAAAGGGTTCCCATCCATCACATTTAGCTTGAACCGACAAGAAAATTAGAATTGTTTTTAAGTGTGTTCCAACAGGACTCTTATGATTGCACTCTGTAGCAGGAACTGGGGTGAAAAAACAATTATTTTATACAAGTATGTATAAGCGTAACTTTCACTATAAAAACTTTTTTTGAACTTAGCTAAATACTTTATATGGAAAATTTTATATTACAGCATTGTATAGCACATTTTTATTTAATTAGTTCTGAAAAGTTTGAGCTTACCTAGCACAATAGTTACAGTTTTGCTGTAACTTTTTACAGTAAAACTTTTTTATACAGTTTTATTGTATACTTGCTTACTTATCAGGAAAAGAAGTTGAAGTGATCAACTGTTCTTTGTTGTGATCTAACAGGGTGCTGCTTATTATCAGTGCACTGCTTCCTTCACCAAAACCAGGTGTGTTTTTCTGCTCAAAAGTAGGAGTACTCTGAAAATCCATCACTTCAAAAACCAGAAATTACTGACATATAACATGGAGAGACCTAAGCAGGCTGGAAAATTGGGTCCACAAGTGTTGTACTATTTTGCAAAGATACATGTGAAGTCTAGCACTTGGGACAACACTATCCCATGCAGCACAAGCCTGGAAGCAGCTCTACTGAGAGGGCCTTGGGGGTCCTGGAGGGCAGTGAGCTCCATGTCAACCAGCAGCATATGCAATGAATTTGAGTAATTCCTAAAACATCACGAAACATAAACAAATAGATGTAATCTTTGTGTTGTAAATTTATACAAATTTTGACTTATCAGATTACGAGAAAAAATAAGTCATTGCACATCTTAAATGATTCTCAAACAAGTAAGTGTAATGAGTCTCACAAGCTTTCCATCAGATACAGGTGTTTTTTTCTTCTACAGATATGGCTGAAGGCTATTATCTGCCTGCCTTTTTTTTTTTTTTTTTAAAACATATTCTAGTTGAACGTTTTGATGTTTTGAAAGGTTTTTGACTAGGAAAGGGGGTTACAGGCAATAGAAGTGTTGACACAGGACACTGCATATTAACAACAAAAGAAACTGAAGATGAAGAAACCAATCACAGACATCCTAAGAGTGACTGTGAAGTTAAGTGCTGATATTATTGTGAATCCAAGAGAAAAAGCAATTTCTAAATGAGCCAAGGGACAAGCATTTTCTTTAAGATTATTATGGTGATTATTCCCTTGGATGGTCTTAGTACAGCACGTAAATCTGAGATAGTGCTTTTGTTTTAAATGAACACAAAATGCTTTTGTACAAAGATTTTTTGGAAGTATTAAAACTATTTTAGCTCCACAAGGTTTCAACATTGGAGATAGAAGGGGAAAGGCATTGACAGAATCATAGAAAAATCATTTAGAAAATTGATGTAAATTAACTGATTTTTAATAATTCTATGTGCAGCAATTGATACAAGCTTCAAAGACAAAAATATTTCTCCCTGATAAGCATTTTGTATATTTTCATTGTACCTAGAAGACTAAATGTAGAAACTCTGTAGTAATACATACTTTCATATTAATAATTTCACAAAAAGGAGTTGTGAAATGTAGCAGTTAAAAAAAAATCATGCATACAAGTGGGGTTTTTTTTTTTGGTTATTCATTAATATTTCCACGTTTTACTTCATAAACTCAAGCAGTTTCATTCATGAAAACTTTCACTATAAAACCCTTACTAATCTTAGATTAAGTTTTACATATGCTTTAGAAAATCAGAGCTTGGTATTTTCTAGCCCTTTAATTCAGAATGAAAATGAATTTGACTTAGACTAGAAAGTTTGGACTAGAAGTACTCTGCCACTCTGAGTGAGGAACAAATAATAAACAGATTATAACAACTTTTTGCAAGAATGATTTACCTTATTTTTTCCCACTTCACACTGAAAAAGACTTGAAATTCTCACTTGGACAGGTTAAGGTATGAGCCTTTTTAAGAAACTACTGCCTTAGATACTACCTCCTAAAAGAAACAGTAGCAGCCTCTAACTATGACCAAATGCATTCCCTAAAGATCGACTCTTTCCAGCTGAGCATGTCCCTAATGTTCTGACTACAGATTCATAGAATAGTACCTTAAGAGCCCAGAAAAAAAAAGTAACAAGAGCCAGTAATTCTCACTCTAATTCTGACTATAACGTCACAACAAATAGATAAAAAGGAAAGTAAAAGTGACAAAATTGTCTGATAAGAAAGAATATGCAAATGTTGCGCTTAGGAACATTGTTTAAGTGGTAGACTTCGCAGCACTAGGTTAATGGTTAGACTTGATCTTAGAGGTCTTTTCCAACCTAAAAGATTCTATGATTCTATGATAATATTAAAAATTGAAAAATTTAATGTATGCCATAGAGAAAAATCATTAGTGTTTGATCAAGCTTGGTATTATGTACTCCTGATCCCAAACAAAATCTGAGGACTCTATTAACTACCCTGTTTTTCAAAGAATCGCTATTTATTAGTGATTCAAAAGGAAGGTAGGATTAGTTCTCATACTGACATCCCAACCACGTACTACAAACTCACATTTCATCAGATAATCCCCGCATAAGAACAGTCTCATGCTACTATTTAGAGCAGTCAGTTTTAATACCTTTGTTTCAAGCCAGCACGCTCTGAGAACAGCTTGTGTCCTGAAGTACACAAGCAACTTGCTGTCCTCATCACTGAGATGGAAAGCTTGCTCCAGTATTTGCAATACTCTGATGCGAGGTTTCACTGGTAAAGAGTCATCACCACAGAAAGGTCTCAACCACTCCAGGAGGTCATCTGAAGAAACTACTTTCTCCCTGTAATTAAACAATACTGTGTTAAACAGACTTTGGTAATCCTAATCAAAATATTACCTACCTGTCTTTTCAGAGTTATTAACAACCACATTCAATACACAAACAATTTCATTAGAAGACTCATATACCATTCTTGTGTTACACACAATTTTCAACTTGTGCAAAAGCGGGATCCCTCAAAAATCACTATATGAAATACAGAGAATAGCATGAACAGTATGATCATGCCCTACAGATGCCTGCATAGAAGCAGGACACTATCTCTCGAAAAGCTCACCTTCGTGAGACAGAAGAGAAACCAGCCCTTGTAAACCAGGTGCCTAAAACTAAGTGGTACAGGAATCTTTAAAAAAAAAAAAATCAAGTAACCACATAAAGACCATAGAACTCCATCTATCCAAACAGTAATGTATTGTCTCCTACACTACCTTGACTGCAAATTTTATAACAACAATGCCAAATTTCAACATTTAAAAACAAAAGCTGTTTTCTTGTGACTGGTCCTGATCAATGCCTATACCTGCACACTATTTGACCTTACGTAAAACCAGCCTGACTGCTTGCTTTTCAGGTGTGACTTTTTTTTTTTGTATCCAATGCTCAAATTCTCCTGTATTCTTTATTTTCTTACATATCCCTTTTTTACTTTCCATATACACAAATTAGTATCTCCTGTGGCTTTAGCTGTTTGTTTATTTTCCTACATCATCATCTTTAGCAAGGTGGATTACTTTATGTCCTAACATGATAATGATTACAAAATGCCTGTAACTCCTAGAAGGTAAGAAAAAATGTTAAAAGAAAAAATAATATTTTTGTTATTTCCTGACTTAGAGAAATAAAAAAGCTATTAATAAAATTTTTAATTTTAAAAAGTGTATTATGCTGAACACATCCTAACCATGTGAGAGCATTTAAAGCATACAGATTACCATGAACTCAACCAACCAGCTATTTGCAGACAGAATAACATGTTCTGTACTTTACTGGCTCTAAACTACCATGTAACATCAGTAAATTCTATTCTGATATTTTTTCAGTAGTATTTCAAAGTAAAGCTTATTTATTTATTTATTTAAAATCAAGAAAGTGGTTCCAGGTGGAGTGTGATTTATAACTAATGTTCTCTTATTTGTCTTAACAAGACAGATGGGAAAGTAATATCAGACAGAAAATGCCAATTTAACCTGTCTTGCAGCTCTGAAATAATAAACATTGACAGCTTAGATTTTCAGATTGCAAGGATTTCAATTTTATTTAGTTTTTATATTGTCTGAATTATGTTGTTCAGTGCAGAACTTTAGCTAAATTAGACATGCCTCAGCTAAACAGGTGGCATTCAAACTGTAAATTACAAGTTTGGGAATTAAGAGGAACTGTTTGAATATTTCTACAGTTTTGCAGACCTCACACCTGATACTTATACATGCTTTCCTTAGGAGAAGATTTATATTTTTCTATGTTGAATAGCTGAAGTTTAAGATAAGTAAGATTAACTTAAAAAAGAATGTAAATAGCTTCTTGTAATCACATCGATTTTCACTCCAGGTTATTGTTTTAACAGTTACATGTTGAAGTATACACCTAAGGACTCCAGAAAGTGCAACTTGGAAAAAAAATTACCGACTCTCCCATGCTACCTTATAATGCTGTAAATGAGATTTATTGTAGATTTTGATGTCAGTCTACTGCAGTATCCAATACTTACATAATACCAGTAGAAGAGCCTCTGTACTAATAATTTAATTGTTTTTGTTGGCTACTAGTGAGCATGAAGATTTATTTATTTATTAATTATTATTATTAAATACAAGTTTTTAGTTTGTACAGCTGGAAAGTTTTTTTTTTTTTTGTCTTCCTTGCCTTTTACAGAAAGGCAATGGGAAGTACATCAGTAAGACAGACCTTTGTATGAACTGAAATAAGGGCATCCATAAAAGAGAATTTAAAAATAGAGATGAGCATTTATGAAATTATTTCTGCACTATACGCCACAAATATTGGTAAGTTTGGCATCTAAATTCAGATATTTAAAGTGAGTCAATGTTATCTGCAAGCTACATAATAAACTGAAACAAAAAAAAACTAAGTACTCTACTTCTAGTAGAGTCAGAGCAGAAATATAATTTCCTCAAATTATCATAATACATAGTTACATAATTTTTATGTTCAGAGAGTTGCTTTCTTCCAAATGATCAAGTAAAAGCTTCTGTCAGGCCTCAGATTTTGAACCTTGTAAGTGATAGCCTGTTCCAAATAAAATCCTAGGAAATAAAGTGTAAACACATTATATACACCCATGAAAAAAAAAAATGATCCATATTCAGTATTGTACCTTCAAGGTTTTCATGAGAAGTATCTTTCAAAGCCTAACCAAGGAATCCATATAGTAAGTTCTTACCCTTTTTCAACACTTGCATGCACTGCAGAAACGATGCCTTCTAGGATTCCAAGTGGATCTTTCACTGATGTAGAAGAACTGTCATTTGCTCTGTTAAAGTAAGACAAAATTCACCATGAAAAGCCCTTAACATTGTATCTAAATCTGTACAACTGCAGGATACATATGAATTGTTCAGCATTTATGGAAGTTTTCTACTTTCCTTGCTTAATTAGCACCCTTATTTTTGTATCAAAGCAATACGAGGAGTAACAAGAAAAAAGTTGGAAAGACAAATACTAAAAGACAGCAGTGAAACTGGAAAGAAAATAGAGATAAAATTTAACATTTATAACACAGAGTAGCATAGCAAAACACGTTTATTGCCTTTAATATCTCATCAGTAATAAGTAAACAAATACACTTAAGCATCACCATCTTTTCTTTCCAAATATCCTCATACTGTATCATATTGGTTTAAACCAACTTGACTGTAACCTGATGTCAAAAGAATCCTTTCTGCTGATTCATGCTTACCAGAAGCAACAAAAAGGAAAAAAGAGAAAAAGGGTTGTTCAAGAACAGTGTGTGGGAAAGGGGAAGATAGGATGTTGTTCCATTGCCGGCTTATTGTGCATAGGTCGGAAGAGTGTGAATCACACTGCCCATCAGATGTTCCAGTTAAACCATAATGTTTTTCCATGGTGAAAATAAATATTGGAAAAGTCATCCTGATAGGAGAAAAAGCTTCACTACTAATGCAGTGGAAGTGATTTTTTTTCTGCTAACATTTTCAGGGAAACAAATTTGAGATGCAACTCAGTGCTGAGAGAGGAAGAGATTTCACACTGGCATGCCAATAAATTACAGTGTCTCTTCATGCTTCACTTCAGTAGCAATGATGACTGTACTGAACTAGAAAAACAACAGTTTTGCCTATCTTAAGAGTTTGTCAATGCTGCATTGAAGCAAAGGAAGGCAAAAGCAAATAGTTCCAAAGTCAGTTTACTTAGGATGACTCAAAAACCCAGAGATAAGGTGTATTTTCTCTACTGTTCATCAGCATATCAAAGCTATTCTGCTACTAAAAATGTCAGCCTCTTACTATATCTCTTAAAAAAAAAAAAAAGTCTAGAGTCTGGTGACTGTTGTTTAAAGCAAAAATATACTCTGTAGCTGACTCTAATTTGCAAAAAAAATTACAGTTTACTGAACTATTTCACAGATTTTGTGTCAAGAGTTATGAATTTTTATAATTTTGTCATGTATTATTTCAGAAAGGCAAATATTTTGCCTAAAAATGATTATACTGTATGGCATACAAACCTGAATTCTTAAAATCTTTAGTGTCTTCCTGTATTCAATATATTTTTTTTAAAACTTAACATGACTAGCACTTCAGTGAACAGCAATACATTAAAAAACATGTGACTTCATTCAGAACAGATACAAGATAATTTGTTGCACAATGAAATCTAAATATTGTTTTACCTTACCATTCCTTTTGTGTTATTATACCACACTCACAAGTATGAAGTAAGACTGAAAAGATCTTAACACCAGTCTTTTCCTCAAAAAATACCGTTACTTTGATGGGATCATCAAAGAAGTGCTATTGTTAATACCAATACTGTCATACGGTAGTTCAGAAAATTTTAGAAGTGTTAAGTTTAAATTCATATATTTAAAACATCTTGAGAATATTTGAAAATAATCAAGTTATAGTTTATGGTAAAGAAATATCCAGGGTTCCAGATTCCCAAAGGGGGAAAATGTCTGTCCAGTCAAATACTTTGGTCTCAGAAAAGTCTGTGTTTTTCCACAGAGGAGACACACCAGATCAGAATGCTCTGTAAAATGAAACAAACAAAATCCTCTACATTTAGATTACACCAGCACTACACAAATGTGGAAATCATAGAAAGAACAGCAGTATTAAAGTAACCATTCATTGCAAGTAGCATTAAGAGGTGGTTTCAAATTTGTTTTAAAATAAAAAAGCCAAGAAAATCTACAATATATTCCCTGAGTGACCAGAAATAAGACTCTTCATTAATGCCCTCTCCGTAGGCTCACTTTACATTTTTCTGTATTATTTTTTGTGGGTTTTTTTTGTTTGTTTGTTTTAGTAAGTTTGTAATAAAAGGACATCAACAAAGCATATGAATATTGCATATCTAAAGAAAACTAAGGGAATATTTATAAACCTTACGTACTAAGAAGAGAACGATAGTTACCTGAAATGGAAAAGAAATAAGGCTGCAGTAGGGATGGGCCATGGAGATCTTAGTACTTCTACTTACTCCAAATTACATTTAGTGTACCTATGTAAATTTCATATGAAAGGAGAATGACTAGCAAACCTTAGCTTCTGGGTTTCTTCAGTTTTGCAGACTGATTCTGAACAGTCCTAGCACTTGCTAAAAGTCCCTTAACTTGCAAAAGCCCTTAATCTCTAATTAGACATAAGAATCTGTAGCTCCTATGGCAACCAGGTTCTAAGCACTTCAAAAAACATGGGTAAAGAGAAACATATACACAAAAGCTGATGGACATTTCTGAAAACAGCAAATCACTGTTTCAGACAATACAGCTGTGAAGCCAGTTCTTGGGTATGGTAGATACATTCATTTGCTCTAAGTTTAGAGCTCGTCATCCACAGACAGGTACTATTCCACTGAGAGGGAGGCAAGGAGAAGAAAATAAAAAGAGGCAAATCTCAAGCAATAAATTAGAGCTATCTATACTAAAAACATATGTAAAAGAAATTACATCTAGCATCTTTTTTGAATCTTTTAAATCTTTGAATTTTTAAATCTTTTAAAAAGCTTAATATTGCCTGTACTTCCCAAAAACTTCCCAAGAACTGTTACAGAAACAAAAAAGAGATTACAGCCCACGAGACAAATATTGTGTCATTTGTTTTGTTCTTACTGATTTAAAATTAACAGCTACTAACAGAATCAAATATAATTAATGAAGGATTATTTTTTTATACAGATTATACGCTACTTGATGCATGTTTTAAACAACATACAATTCAGCATTCACCTCAAAACTCATAGGTATAAGCCTGGTGTAATTACACTGATAACAGCTTATTTTGATTTCAGTTCAGTTTCAGAAAAAGTGATGCATATTTAATCAAGTTCTTCAAATGCAACAAAGTACAAAGAATGCTTGAAAGGATAATAAATTAAATCCATCTAAGTCTTTTAACCTAATTATACTATTCATCATAAATACTTGATAATTCTTTCCTTTATCCAGCCTTATTTTTCTCTATTTTGTGCTTCTTTTAAATAACAGGAAAATAAGCAAGTAATACATTGTTGGTGTTATCATTCCAAACTGGGGAAAAGAAGCCATAACGTCAAACAGTCATTTCTGTAAGAATTATTATCAAATTATAAGATACCAGGTTGCAAGATTTCCCTGAAGAACCCCTGCTCAAACGAGATGAGATGGTGAAAAATCTGCTTTCCTCCTAAGTTAGGTGCTCTGTCTATTAAATACAAATTCAGAATTCCCACCAAACCTGTCCTGCTCATTGCCTGGTGAATACTTCCAAAATTTCATGAAACACAAAATCCATCTGAGCACAAAGGAGGCCATAATGTCTTCAACAGCTAAAATGCCTTCCCTGACTACATAGACTCCTAAGTAGAAGATTCTCACTCATGATACAAACTTCTCTTCATCATCCACGAACATTCCTTAAGTCATGGATCATGGAAAGTTTCCAATACATGACATGAGTGATCTTGGTCATGGAATAAACTGACTCTTAGATAAGTCTAGTTAGACTATCAGCATTACCAAAACCTTCAGAATCCCATGATTTCTTCTGAAGAAGTAACTAATTTCTGTTGACAGTAGCTTTTTTTCTACTTTAAATTTTGTGCACAAGAATTACAGAGTCAAGGAAGATAAAAGCAGTTAACAGAACTGGACAATGCTGCTTCTGAAATTATACCCTTAGACAAATAACTACACATATGTTATATTTAACAAGAGTTACTGTTTCTGCGAATATATGGCAGATGTTAACCCTGTAATATTGCACGCTATTAAAAAACAGAACAGAATAGAACAAAAAAATAGAACAGAATAGAACAGAACAGAACAGTTCAGTTGGACCTTCAAAGGGACCTTCAAAGATCATCTAGTCCAACTGCCTGACCTCTTTGGGGCTTACCAAAAATTTAACTGTGTTATTGAGGGCATTGTCCAAATGCCACTTGAATATCAAGAGGCATGGGACATCAGCCACCCCTCCAAAAAGCTTGTTCCAGTGTTTGACCACCCTCATGGTAAAAAAAAAAAAATTCCTGATGTCCAGCCTGAACCTCCACTGGCACAGCTTTGTGCCATGCCTTCATGTCCTGTCATTGTTTACCAGGGAGAGGAGAACAGCACCTCCCTCCCCCTCTGCCTCCCTACATCAGGAAGCTGCAGAGAGCAATGAGGTAAGGCTGCACCAACGCTAAACACAGGAGGAGAATCACCTCTTTTGACCAGCTGGCCATGATGTGTTTGATACACCCCAAAATGCTGTTTGTTCTAGCTGCCCAGGGCATGTTGCTGGCTCATGTTAAGCCTCCTGTTGTCCAGCACCCCCAGATCCCCTTCTGCTGAGATGACTCATCTTCAGTCTGTACCCATGTCTGTAATGCCATGTCTGGCATTACTCCATCCCAGCTGCAGAACCCAGCACGAAGACAAAAAAAAAAAAAAGTAATTTTTCACAAAGGCAACATTTTCTTGAAGAATCTTCTGCAGTAGTCAGTCAATACTTTAATAACAGAAGATATTTTACTGTGTTTGAAGGGGGGGTTGTAGTTATGAAACTGGAAGGAAGGATGCATATTTTCAGTCACAGACATGATGTGTCTCTGCTTAAGTTTCAGGTAAATCACAGGCACTACCACATTTTTTTTACATCCACACAGGCCTACTTCATTTATGGTCACTGTACCTTAATTACATTCCCTGTCACCATAGCTACGGAAAATCCAGGCAAACTCCAGTTCAGTGTTATAACCCTACAAGCACTACTCTGAATGTTAATTGTCAAAGGAATTTCTTTTCTGCAAAACTACTACATAAAATAACTGCACTGTATAACATATCAAAGCTCAGGAAAAAAAAATGTGAAGAGTATTCCCTTGAAATGTTACAATTACTGAAGAATAATTCAGCTTTCCAGGTTCACAGGCAAGACTTTCTTTAAACATATCTTTTTGTCCATGAACCCTGAAGTTAAAGTGTTGCACAAAAATGCTGTGGTTAATGTGTTTTGATTTGTGTTATGGTCTAGCTAGAAAGCTAATATCTGAGCATAGGATAGAGATGCATACAATTTCATTCACAGCAATGGCATCAAAGCCAGCAGGCTAAAGAGATGACAAGTCACAACCTTTCTTTTAAATGCTCACTATATTTAAAGAGACTCTACCTTATAATAATATCATCTTGCTGAATTTCGTAAGAGGGATAATATTATTTTAAGTATTTTTTATTCTACATTGGCTTTTACTTTATGCTTTTTACCATTGTAGTAGGCAAACTTTCCAGACTTCATTATGTGACTACTACCTACCACATGACTTTCCTCTCATCCTGTTGCACAGAAAAAAAGTAAATTAACTGGGCCATCTTGTTTCATAATATTTTTTCTTGTTGTTTTTTGTTTTTTTTTAACATCAGTTTGTATTTATAAAGAAGAATACTTGTCAAAAGAATGCACATCACAAACCAGATGAAAAGTTGTGAATTTCTGAGTTCTTCTGAAGCCTCCAAGTAATTCCTCTGCCTTTCCATTTTTTTCCACTGGAGGGATGCACTTTCCATTCTTTAATGGTTTAATGGCTTTCCATTCTTTAAGTACTGATTAAGAGTTATTGGTTGTGGTCTATATGCAAAAACTTTATTAAATAAACTTTCAGACATTCAAGCTTTGCAACGCGTATAAAAAGCAAATATGTTAGTATAGAGAAGAGTAAAAGAATTTCAGGACATCCATCCTAGTCTGCATATTAATATGAATCACTACTGTTGAATTAAATAGACTTTATGTCCAGATGCATCACACAGACCAGATGTATCATTCCAGCCAGGAACATCAGGACCTGGATCATCTAAAGCCAAATTATTCCTCACAAAATGGACATGGCCATACAAGAAAGACAATGTTACTGATGTTGCTATGCAGAAAACTCTGCCATTGCTGGGGATGCTATGAACACTCAAACTGAGTGACAGGAGACATTCATTTTCTGTCAAAGAGGGCTGCAAATGCTTTGACAGGCTCCCTTCTTTTTATCTGTGACTATCCAATCTGATTATACACACAAATGCTAAGGAAAAAAATAGGTAGAGCTATACATTATTTTCCATGCTATATTTGTTTCTGTATTTCTGGCATGCGTATTCAAATCATCCTACCCACATGTAATTCTTCCACATGCAAAAGAATCAAGTAAATTGCAGAAGTTTTATCCATCTAAGCTGGTTTTAAAAGTGATAGAGTTTAACAGCCATTTAACAATTGAATACTCTTTAGTATGTGTTGCATACATCTCTTTGGAACAGAAATACTTCAGAAGAGAGTTCTAAATAGTTAAATGAGAAATATCTGTTCATTTGTTATGATATAAAACTACCTTCTCCCCTATCCCCCGCCACTACTCTTCCTCAAAAAAATAAAGTAAGTTTTCTACTGATCACATAGGTCATCAACACATGGTCTTTCACTTGGAATATTCAGTACATCAAAGACACAGCCAGAGAGAGGTAGCACTCTGCAACATCAAATCCAAGACAGCATCTACAAATAAAAATCCCTGATGAATTGCTGTCACTGGACTACAGAAGAACAAAAAACCAAACCAAACCAAAAAAAAAAAAAAAAAAAAAGTGAGTGTTTTTGTGCTGCTCTGAAGGAAAAAGAACATAACCAACAAAAAGATTTTTAAGAGCTGATTGGTATTCTGTCAACTATGATGAAAAAACAAAAACCACCAACACACACACACAAAAAAAAAAAAAAAAAAAAACACTTGTGCTCTATTTTTTTCCTGAATAATGATATAGACGTAAAACCCTAGAACTTCATTCTCTGTTTGCTTCTTTCAGAATTTCACATCTCAGATGTAGTCTAACAGCAATGGAGACTGAATATACTCTTTGGTCAAGTTGTGTCAGAAAACATCCACAAAGACACACTGATTCAATCATGTTAAGTCATAGGGCTGAACTCTGCTAACTCTTTGACAGGAAAGAGGACAGGTTGTTCCTAAGTAGCTACAAAAATTCACAGACTTTCAAATATCCTAAACCTTGTTAAAAGAATAAGGGCATCTTCACAGGCTTATTCAATCCTAACAAACCTTATCAATGTACACTCAACTTATAGATTGCCATTTAAGCCCACAAACCACATTCCCTATTACTTCACTGTCCTAATAAATAACCTATCCTTTGGATAGTGCCTTACACTGTGGCAGGGAAAAAGTTGAACCTCAAAAGACATACTAACTTATGTCTAACGTTTTGTGCCAAAAGAATTTTGTGGTCACCATGGCTATGAAAGCTGCCAAATCTCTTACCAAACCACAGGAGGTATTAAAAATGGCAAGCTCAGTTAGGACTGAGTATTAAACACAATGAATAAAAAGCACCTTATTTAACTGAACAGCTTTTCAATAAACATGCTTTTCTTTCCCTCACCTGTGTCCATATTTTCACTATGCTCACACACATGTATTTTTAACAGTTCTATATTCCCAGAGACGTTACATTCTCCCAAATGCAAGTTAAATTAAAATGGTTTCAGTCTCAGACTCGTGAATGAAAGCAACATCCCTTCTGGGCTAGAAGACATTACATACATTAAATAGAGGCTGCTGCTAACCCAACAGGCAGTATGCTCTTCAATACAGAAATCTTCCTTCCTTAAGACATGACAAGTACTGAAGAAACACACCGTGATTATAGTAGTTCTATAGATTCTTTCTCACAAGTGTTAGAATTTAGAAGCCATACTACAAAGAATCATGCAACTAAAAGATCATTGTAGTGAAGTTTATATAAACTCTGAACTCTCTGATAATGAGATTAAGATGGCCACCATCAACTTATTTCATCTTCCTTTGTATCACTCAGGTCTCACCAACATCTCGACACAATTAGTCAAGGATTCGTAACTATAAACTGTATGGAAATTAGTTATTTTGCATTTTCTCCATACTTTTAAAATAAAAGATGACTCAGCTTGCTGTAGTTGTATGAACAGATTGGTTTGGTTTACGTAATACAATGGAAAAGATAAATGCTTAGGTTTTGGAGCTGTGAATTCTAGAAAAAGATAGAAATAAAGCCTTACTTCTGGCAGGGAACGCCTCTGTAATGACACTATCAGCAGCAATAAACAGTAAATGTCAACACTGAAAAAGTTGATCAAATAAATGTCCTTCCTCACATCAGAAATCTGTTTCTGTCCAGGAAGTCAGCTAATTGTGTGTTTTGTTTGCTTTTTAATCATTGCTGCTTTAAAATGCTGCAGGAAGCATAGAACAATTAGACTTAATTTGGGGGTTGGATGTGATACAGAGGGAGGTGGAAGAAGAAGAGAAAAAACTTAAAGAAGTGTTCTTTAAGAGAACAAAGAATTATGGCCTATATATTCATGATTTTAAAGAAACACACATCTCAAAAGCTTGAAAACTATAAAAAAATAAAATAAAATAAAAAATAGAACGTTTCCCGAAATACCCTGGAAAGTTATTCAAAAGATGGAAATTGTACTTATTCCTGTAGAATTAACTGTTGTGGCAACAGCTGTTGCTAGACCTTTGCTGCCCAAATACCTGCAGAAGCATGTACACACTATCTCCAACAAACATGTTTTTAATTCTGTTGTTCTTAAAATGAAAATTATGTCCAATTATAAATTTGCCAAAAAATCAAAAATGTACAAACACACACATAATGGAACAATATTGTAAAGCCAAGATTTAAAATTTAAAAGCACTTTTCAGTGAACAGGATCAGTAATGTTGCTTGTTTTGTTCCAATTGCCCAGGCTTCCCAAACTCAGAGAAATATAACTATCTTATCTGAATAGAAAAATATAGGTCAGCAAGAGCATAAGAACTCAGTTCTTCTCATTGCCATATCTTCTGTAAAATCCAGACATCCAAAGCAAGCAAGTGCTCAATATATATATTATATATTTATTTATTTATTTATTTATTAAAAAAGGAGGAGAGATTCAATGGTTATAGTAGACTTACCTTAGAGTGCATATAATTTTTTTAATAGCACACTGAACAATGTCCTTGGGAGAAAGACCTAGATCTCCAACAGCAACTTGTATCAACTGTTGTATCATATCCAGGGGCTGACCATCTATACACATAGTTACTGCTTGGTCATGGATTTTTTCTCTCTCTGATCTTGACAAATCATATAAATAGCCATACTTCTGTAGTACATCCTGTGAACAGATAATTTTTGAACATGAAACAACGTACTCTTTATTTACAGGTACATTTCATTCAGGGTCTTCATTTCTACCAAGATAATACATATACTACAAAACAAAAAAGACTGATGGAAAAGAATTTTAAAAGACTGGGTCAACAAAAACAAAGCTATAAAACACTAACAAAATATGACAGCAGCTTGATGTGCATCACTGCTAGTTATAGCTACACTCAAAACAAACATGTGATCAGTAACCATTACCTGTTTGCTGTTTTTCAAGTAAGTAATAAAACTATGAGTGAGTGTTTCCAGATGAGCAAGAGATTGCTGCAAGTGATTCAGAGTTTTTTCATAAGCAACAGATGGATTTTCAGCATCTTCCATGTCATTCTCAGAAGGTTTTTTTCTTGATTTCTCAGAAAGATGTTTGACTGCCTTAATAGCCTTCTTAGTCACTTCTATCCTGGTTTCAACTGTCAGCTGAAAAAGATTGCTCAATATTTAATCATTATTATTATCTATATGCTACTATTTGTATTACAGCAGTGCCTAGAGTTCAGGTAGCTCCACTTTCCTACATTATTGTACAAAACTAAATGAGCTATTTTAGGAGAAACAACCATATTTCTTATTAGTCATTTATTCAAAAAAAAAGATCAGTATTCCATGTACTTTCTTCTGTTGTCCTTTCTTTTATTGACATTAAATCTGACTCACAATAGAACATACCAAACTTTCCTTAACAAATAATATTCGTGATTTTTGCAGACTGCCACTTTTTTGTTGGTGGTGTTTTTGTTCTTTGAATTTTGTATTAAGAAAAACCCAAACACAGAAAATTAACTTAAGGTTAGTTTTGTTAGGTTTAGCTTATGGTATGAGATGTATCTCCAAGACTATGATCGTAAGTGAAGATCACTTGGAGGTCTACCAACTTAGGCCATATATATACTTTGATCTGCTTGCACATTTATCGCAGATAACTTCACACTATCTGCCAGTACATGCAACCTACACCACGCTACTACTGCAATGAAGATTGAAAAAAACTTGATAGCTGCACAATCTCTCAAAGGATATTACAGTTTCACAAATTTTAAAAAGTGCAGGCCACAACAGATTGGATGTGAGGGAGACACAAATTCCTTTCAAATCGACTTATTTAAAGCACAAGTTATACAGAACAGCAAGTTACTATTTTGAAAGACCTTTACAATTACATGTTTAAACCAAAACAAGAACGTCTTTTTTTTTTTTTTCTCTTTTTTCCATTAAACTTCCCATAGAGATGAATTTCTGGATACAGAGTTATACATACACTGAATGAAGTCTCCCACCACGCACAAAGGAGTCATTCCTGCGTGTCAGAATGGAACTGAGAACAGAACCCAGGCAATGATTATAGATTTCTAAGCTTCCAGAAACCAAGAGTACTTCAAGAACAGATACAGATAGAAATACTCTTCATACAGACAAGACAAACAGCAGACTGCTGTGTTCTTAACCCAGCAGCCTCACCTGGAAGTCCAAAACAAACTCTGAAATATCATTTTTAAAATTCATATATACTTTGCTAATTTTTAATTTCAAGTACCATTTTAAAGATGCTTCCAATATACTTTCTTTCCTCTGCCCATACCCACAGCATTAGATACTTTAACATCAGCTGTTTTAATTACTGGTATACTGGACGAAAACATGCAAACAACTTTAATTTTCAAGTAAAATTACACAAATAGAAAACAAAGCTTGAATTTGTATGGTATTGAATAAGAAAGAGGCTGATTTACCATAAAAAGAGGAAAATTAAGCTGCTATAAACATTCTTTTTAAGGAAGTCGATTTGATATTTACATCATGAATTAGACTTATCTACTTGTAAAGCCATAGAAAGCTTCACAAAGAATAGCAAGTGGAATGTTTTACAGCTTTTATATATCCATGCATATTACTTTTCGCTAAATATACATGGTGAAAAATGTAGGGGTTGCTCTCATGTTTTAGTGCTGTTGCTGTAAACCACAGCAATTATCTACTGCTATTTAATACTAAAAGCAAAATGGGAGGACATTTTGGGAACAACGAAGGAAATCTTGCCAGTATTAACAGAGTAAATGCAAAGGATATCATAAAATCATATGGTTTGGGTTGGAAGACACCTTAAGGAACATCTAGTTTCAACCTCCCTGCCATGGGCAGGGATACCTTCTACTAGACCAGGTTGCTCAAAACCCCATCAAACCTGACATTAAACATTTGCAATGATGAGGTATCTGTAAGTTCTGTGGCAACCTGTTCCAGTGTTTCACCACCCACATAATGAAGAATTTCTTCTGAAGATGTTACCTAAAACATCCCTCTTTCAGATTACCCCTTGTCCTATGTCTACACATCCTTGTAAAAAGTCCTTCTCTGTCTTTCTAATTAAGCTCCTTTATATATTGAAAAGTTGGAAAACGTTTTAACTGGAACCTTCTCTCATCCAGGCTGAACAATCCCAATTCTCAACACCATTCTTCACAGCAGAGGTGCTCCAGCCCTCCGACTGTTTTTGTGGCCCTTCTCTGGACCTTCTCCAATAGGTCCGTGTCTTTATGTGCTGAGGACCCCAGAACTGGATGTGCTCCTACAAGTGGGATCTCATGAGATCAGGACGGAGAAAGAGAATTACTTCCTTCAACCTGCTGGCCACACTTCTATTTATGCAACCCAGGATACAGTTCAAAAATGAATCATTTCCATTCCCATTAAAAGAAATTAGGTATGATTTTGTTACTTTGAACAAGGTCTCAACATCAGGTTTTACTATAAGCAGGGAAAAGGTGATGCTGTTCATATCACATTAAAATTTAATGACCACAGATGGATTTATGTATCCATTTTGTAAACCTCATAAAAGATTAAAACATTTACCTTTTTCATTTTTCTTCTTCTACTGTATATTCTAATGTTCAAAATGCAATTAAGAGAGATGCAAAAGGCAAACAGTTCAAGTACTCCATCTAACTGTTATATCCTAGAGAACAATGTGAATATACTGCATGTTTGCAAGTCATGAGGCTATCAGTGTATACAGAATAAAGCATTAAAAAAAGAATACAGGTTCTTTCCAAGACCATTTTAATTTTGCTTTCATATTTCCATAGTGCTGAACTGCAGCACTACTATTTAATTTCTCTGATTATTTTATTCTCAAATGTGAATGGCTATCCCTCCGTACTTCTAGTCAGTTCAGTAATGAGATTTGGTGTCACACCCCGTGACAAAAAACAGCTTAGGGGCTAGTTCAATTTTTGTTTGAATGTGAAGTTGAGTTTTCCTTTTAACAAGTTTTTATAGTTTAAAAATATTTTTAATTTTATAGGCCACGTGTGATAAAAAGTACTAAAAAGCTGTTTTCATTTTCAAGTAAAGGAATATCACACACTATTTCAGCTCAACAGATTTCACTCTTTAGGGTGAAAATTCACCACAGAAGCCAGTTTCCTTAAGAATATCTAAGTATTTCTCAATAAAGTATTGTACAAGTAACATTTACTTATGTATGAAGATCCTGACCCTGCCACTCTTACTGCCAGTGATTAACATTCAACTCTGAGATGACAGAAACAGCTTCCCTTCTAATTCCACAGAAACCTGGGATTCCAGCAACATAATCACAGAATGGCTGAGGTAGGAAGACCTCTGGAGGTCATCTGGTCCAACCCATTCCCAAGCACGGACACCCAGGACCAGTTCCTAAAAATCCTACTTCCATTATCTCGCTTTAAGCTTCTCCTCAAGGTCCGCTTAAAAGCAAAAAAAAAAAAAAGAAAAAAGAAAAAAGAAAAAAAAAATGCTGTCTCAGTTCTCAGTGAGATTAGAAATTACTTCATGGTAATCATTATGCTTTTTTTTTTTTTTTTTTCAATCTTTTACCTATATTAAGTATCAATACCTCCATGAAATATGGAAATGTACAAAAGTGTTAGGGGAGTAAGAAACCAATATAGTATGCCCTTGGCCACAGAACTGGGCTGGGAAGAAAGTGCTGATGTAGAGAGTTAAAATAGCGATTACATGACCATCACTGCTTCAAAACAAGATGAAATTTTAAGTAACAACTGCAAACCAAAACACAACTTTTATGTATGAAGCACTTTTCAGATGAAAGTTAGAGAAAAGAGATCTCTCGGAAATATTTTTTCAATAACTACTACAATAATTTTTCATCATACACTTGCACTTGAAAACCATTAACTGAATTTTAAGGAAAGGCTAGTTTAGTTGCAAGCTGGTCAAATAGCTGTTTCATTCCCAAACCCAGTGCATGGTAGATACTAAATCAGCTGATTTGACCAACTTCTTCAAACACTTATTGAGTTTGTTTTATGACTTTGAGTTTCATCCAAAAAGCTGGCAGATTTCCGCTAAAAAGGTTAACTTAGATAGCAACAGCAATAACCTTGAAGGAGCCATCAACAGCTCCTTCCCTTTACTCCTACTCATCTTATGGGACTAGAGAAACTGTATTAGAATCCTAAACAGAAATAAACAAAAAATTTCAAAGCACATGCACAGGGGAGGCTATCCAACCTTTCCCTGCATCATTCATCCACACTAAATGAGAAATTTTCCTGAAAGGTACATTAACAGAAAGAATTTGTAGTCATGAGGAGCAATCACACATGAAGACACTATTACCATCTCATTATAGCACAGTCATCCCCTGGCTACCTCAGTTCAGGGTCATGTCTGGCAACTGAAACCTTGGCATGACCGTCAGTGTTTTCCTGATAGGCATGCAAACCTGAATATTTAGAATCACAAAATATCCCTGTTTGGAAGGGACCCACAAGTTTCATTGAGTCCAACTCCTATGTCTACACAGGATGACCCCAAAATCAAACCACATTTTCAGCAAATGCTTATTGAATGCCAGCAGGCTCAGTGCTATGCTCCCTGGGGAGCCTGTTGCAGTGCCCAACCACTCTCTTCACAGAATTGTAGGGGTTGGAAGGGACCTCCAGACATCATTGGGTCCAACCCCCCTGCAAAAGCAGGTTTGCTACAGCAGGTTGCACAGGTAAGGGGTTCTTCTCTGGGTGAAGAACCTTTTCCTAACACCCAGCCTGACCCTCCCCAGTCACAGCTCCATGCCGTTCCCTCGGGTCCTGTCGCTGTCCCCAAAGACCAGAGCTCAGAGCCTGCCCCTCCGCTCGCCTCGTGAGGGAGCTGCAGGCCGCCATGAGGCCTCTCCTCAACCTGCTCTGCTCTGAGCTGAACAAACCAAGGGACTTAGCTGCTCTTCATATGCCTTCCCCTCTAGACCTTTCACCACCTTTGTTGCCCTCCTTTGAACACACTCTGAGTTTTATGTCCTTGTTTACTTGATACAAAGGATCGAAAACCTAATCACAACAATGGTTCCACTGAAGAGGTGTAAGAGACAGCTGACAGTACTTTATTTCTAACATAACTTTATGTTAGAAATACCTTTACAAACAGATTTCACTGGGCAAAAAGAAACTGTAGATCTGGTAGTATATGCTACAGACACAGAAGTACATCCTTTCAGTAACAGGCTTTCAGCAAGATGGAAATTACAACAGAGTTTATAATTTACATTATTACAGTGCCTAGAAACCATACGCAGTGGCGGAACACCTCTCTGTGGAATATCCTATTCAGAATGCAAAAGCCTGGTAGTAAACAGAAGCCTGCAGCACAGCGAATTTTAGGATCAGCACAAGTGAAATAAACAAACACATAAGAGAAGTATCTTATTCTCTGATGAACCACAATACTGGGACTTTGGGGTGCCATGAAAATCTTTCTGATCCTCAGAGCTAACTCCTTTATATATATATCTATATACTATATACATATAATAGATATGATATATCATATATCTCTATGTTATAAACATAATATATATAGATATATGATACGATATATATGATACGATATATATGATATACGATATATATGATATACGATATAGATATATGATATATAAAATATACATATATTTTATACAGTGACAGATATAAAAAGAAGAGAGAGGTTTATAGGAAGGTAGCTTTACGTATCTTTAAAAATTGTAAAATGAAAACTGCAAATATTTGCTGAGAATTTCTCCCTGACAGTGTATCAACCGTGCTTCACCTGAAGTTTGAGTTTTTTCAAATGCATCTGCTTACCTTTGTGACAGCTTTTGAAGAAAAGGTAATTTCATCAATAAAAGTGATGATATCATCTGGATCAAGTCTATCAAAGTACTTTGAACACACATCATATGCATGTAGCCACTCATCCATAGTTTCTGGTATTTTTTTAATGAGATGGTTATCACCGTTCCAAAAAAGTTTTTGTAACCAGACAGCATAAAGAGAGCTTGGTAACAGCATACCGCCATCTTTTTTAGGAATTTTGGGAGCCAGTTTGGAAATAGATAAGATATTTTGACTCGTAAGTACTGGCTCCAGAGTTCCCAGAGGGTTTTCGTTTTCATCTATTAAGTTTTTGTAATTAAGACCTATTGACAGAAGGAGAAAAAGACAAATGAAATATAAGTTATTCATTATTTTCAATGTTATTTAGTTATTTAAATATAAATCTACTCAAACTCCACATTTCTGTACAATTCAGTCAGAACTAGAAAAACTCTTGCTCCACTTCCATTTTCAATCACGTATATTGACGGACTGGGGAGGAAGACAGGTTTGCATGCAGATAACACCAGGATTTTATGGTGACCTCATATATGAGATCTCTCAGTCCCTGGAACATATTTTGACTTCATATATTGATATATATATACACACACACACAAAAAAAACACAGATTTTCAAATATGCAAGGATATTTTTAGTACGTAGAATCATGAGACCATTTTTTTAAATATAAATCCTATAAAAGCTCATCTTAATAGTATCTTATCAATACTTGACTTTATAAGCAAATTGAAAATGGTATTCAAAGTTTCAAAATACTTTCCAGCAGTTCTCTTTCATATGTATTGTCTAATAATGCAAGAGGAATAAATAATGTATTTCTGTAAAGACAAAAAGTAACATCAAAGAAAAAAATACAAAATAAAATTACCCTCTTTACAAAAATGCTAATATTCTCAAATGACTTAAGACAGTTAATGTTGAACCTGCAGGCTAGAAAATTATGCTTCAGGATGACTATTTTTTCTTAAAAAATCATTATACATCATTGCTAATAATTCTGACTTGCATCACCAACAGAAATCTGTTTTTAATCTATCGTTATAGGCAAAAAAAAATTAACTTAAATTTCCGGTAATACAAAGAGAAGGAACTTCTCTCTTCCTATAACGCACGACTAACCCACCAAATTGCTTGCAGGCATCTGATATGCTCATTGAAAAAAAATAATAAGAAGTGCTTGGCAAGTATAAGTTAGATAAACATAACCATGTCAACACTCATATAACAGAATAATAAATACAGCTAGGAGAAAAAAAAAAAAAAAAAAAAACACATTAACTCTCTTACCTGGTGCAACTGCTTTGAATTTTTTCAGGAGTCGAATGTGAGTTTCAGGTTTCACAGCATGCTTCACAAATTCTGAGCAACCACAATTTTCAAGGAGTGTGAAATAATAAAGCAACCGCTGATGATCTCTACCTTCAATACTTGGGTAAACATATTTAACCATGTGTTCATGTAAAGTTTCAGGACTTGTTTTCAAAGTCTCAAAAAGACCAAGACTTTGTGCTCTTTCTTCTATTTCCAGAGTAGACAATCTGCATTTAGAAAGAATTTTGCTTTAAAGGCGTGGACATGCCATTAATGCCTTTTCAGTTCAACACTTACGGAGACAAAACAATACTTTTCTTTGTTTGAGTAGTAAGGTTCAACTTTGTAAGAGATTCTGAAAGAGCAAATACTTGTTCATAGATAGCTTCTGTTTATGGAGAATTGAAACTAAGGAGTTCTTTCATTTCCTGATCATATTATTTGTTTATTTGGACATGAAGACTAAGGGTGACACACTTAAGACTTTTATGTGTGATTCAAAGCAGCATTTCAAATCTCTAATTATATGTAAAATCTCTAATTATATGTAAAAGTAGACATGTCCAGTGCATGTGTATAGGAATTTTAAGCTTCTGCTTAAAAAACAAAAGCCAACAATAACAAAAAAAAATATGCACACAGCACTTGTGGTTGAGAGATGTTAGAAAAATCTTAAAATCTTACAGCCCAACCTGTTCTCTCATTCTATTACATTTTCTGTAGTAAATGAGGACCTGTGCATTCTTTTAGAGAACATCACTGAAAATTGACTCTTGTCCACCAGTTTATCTATTTGACACTATCACTCTTACTTCACGTTTAATTTGACAGTTATATTATGCTACCTTTCAAATTGTCATCCATAAAAACTTATGAAAATACCAAACATCTCAGGTTGACCTCAGCCAGTCTCACTGCTGAAAGTTTTTTTCTTGACCCTTTTGAAACGAATACATTAGTTCATTCACAGCATGAATTCAGACACTTCCAACAGACTACATAAAAGACAGTTGAATGCAATCACTCCTTTTTTCTCCCTCAACAGAGGTAAAAATGGATGTATATCAATGAAGTCTCATCTTGAGTTTATACATTTCTCAACAGAAATTTTTACCTAAAATCTAAGGAAAGAAGTCACCTAAGGATGAGCATCAAACTGACTCTTCCCCGCATCCAGCCACAGGCCACCTTAGGTAGGTATGTTTCAATTTGAGATTTGATGTCTTCTAACCACACTTGATTTTTTTCTACCTTTACAATTGATTAAATTAGAATTTTGACATCATTTTTCCCTCAGTATATATGCCACAAGTAAGGTAGTGTTTCTTTTTGATATCCAAGTCAAGTAAGTAAGTTTCATTGTTAAAGATGAGTTTCATACAGCAAATACTACAGACAATTTTTTTTTAAATTAATCTCTGATTTCTAAGGGAGAAGTTATTTTTGAGTTATTTTTATGGCTAGAACTGAGCCCACAGGCTAGAAACCTAACCTTGTAAGCTTTAATTTAGGTCTCTAGATTCTAGCTGTTTGCTAAGTGTAATGGTTCTACCGTATTAAGGGAAAAATGTCTGCTACTAATGGAAATAAAATGTCATTCACTCTTAATACTCTTAATGTAAGACAAAACTGACACTTGGAACTGATTTATATCAAGAAAGAGATTGGAAAGCTCTGAATACACTTTCTTTCCATACCATCCAGCCTACAGTTTGAACTTTGAGATGTTAAATTTTAAATCGATAGAGTTTTGCTGTGTGTTTTTTGTTTCTCTTTTGTTTTGCTGAGGGAGTGGGATGGATGCTGGGGAGAGCAAGAAAGGTTCATTATGTTGTTCACCAAGATCATGGAATAGAATCCATGGAAGATAAACATAAAATTTCTTGTTGCTAAAATTATAAAAAGCATTTTATACACTTTGGCAATCAAATTTGACCAGATCCTCCACAAGAAACAATTAAGTTTTCAATTAATTAAGAAACAGTGATTATGTGCAATTTTCATCAAGTTCAAATTCACAGCACAACAGAAAAACATGTTTATTTGTTACCAACTAATCAAAGAAATAGTTAATACAAACCATATAAGTGCTTCTTTTGAACTTCTCTGTACATAAAGTGGCTTATAGAAATAATCTCTTTAACCAAATATGCAGTAAGTCTTAGAATAAACTTCTTTTCATTTCAGAATGAATGCATAATGAGGCATGCATTATTAATGCCATAATCTCAAGAGTAAAACATACTGTAATTGCCATATGCTGTCAATCAACTTTAAAATGAGATTATGATACAACAAAAACATACTCAGCAGCATATTATGCTATTATATATCAATTTTCAAGACTTTTTTGAATTTCATTAGGGAAAAGGTCGTTACTTCATACTTCGGTGATTTCAGAATTCTATGATTACTGACTCACAGAGGACAGAACAAAAAGTGACGGAAAACTGGTGCAAAACACCTTCGGTAGAATTTTAGTCCCAGAGAAGCGATCTGGTTCTTTCATATTCACCCCGGTGTTGCCAGGTTTACACTCCAACTGTCTATTTTGTTTAAAGAACTAATTAATTTAATAGCACCAAAATTTCAAAGATACAACTTCTCTGTTTTCTGAAGAAAACAAAGGAATCACAGAGTGTTATATCACCTTCTCAGACTATGTACCAAAATCTATCAGGCTTTGTTTTTTATACCGCATGGTCTATAAAACATTTTAATGCTTTTTATTTAATAGTTAATGTTAAGAGAGGTAGAAGTACTGCTGCAAGCTACAGCTGCTTTCACAATTTAAAATTTGAAACCAACTAATTTCATCATGTCTGTTAGAACAGTAGATAAGAGCTGCTATATTACACATGGGGCTCTACATCACTGTCACCTGAATGCACTATTCAGGTAAGTAGCTTAGGCTTTCATTAAAAGGGTTTATTTCGCTTTCAATTTGCTAAAAGTTATTGTCTGACTGACAAGATGTCTGAAAAGAAAAAAAAAAAAAAAAAAAGACTTTTGAACCAACTCGGGAATGCAAAAGAAAAGAATCCCCCTTGCCATCAATGCCAAGTCTGATCTGCCACAATCCTGTAGTCTAGAAGAGTTCCAAAGAACTCTTGTAGAAAAGTGCTTCCATAAAACACACACACAAATGAATAACACAACTAAGAAGCTCTAATATAGTTATTTCCTTTGCTACTATTTAGAAGAGAGGTCAATAAATACCAAAGTTTATTTTAAAATAAACAAACATTATCACAAATCACTATCTATTCCAAAGGAGTATAAAGGTAAAGATACTTTGCTATCAAGGACTTGATAGCTGTGGAAACCTAAAAACTGAACCAAAGTCCCAGGATATTTACAAGAACAGTAAGATGCACATGGACTTTTATGCCTGCTTGTAACACATTTTCATGGCTGGTTACAAAAACACCACATGCAAGAAATATGAAAACACAAACCTAAATCTGCCCCCAGTATAATGCCATTCTATCTCAGATTAGGACATATTTCTGTGTAATAGAATCTGATGTCAATTTGCAAAACTTACCCACTGTCAGTGAATAAAAATTCCAGATGGGTCATATAAACTTCCCAAAGGGGGACGTTGTATCGCTGAGCCAAAGAAACAGCAATCTTGTATACATTTTCTTCAAGTGTTCTTGTAGAAAAAAGCCATGAAATAGAACAAGGAAAAATTACACTAAGCCCCTAGAGACAGGACAGTAAGTATTACCATTAGGAGAGCAATGATTTCTTGTTAATCTTATTCTCTTCAACCAAGGACCTAGATTTAATTCACTAGTTTTAAACCACTGTTAAATAAAAATACACAAAGTGTGCCTTGTTGCATTTTCCACGTTCTGTGGTCCATTTAGGGAAAATTTTGAAATCAAATCAAAATACAGAGAAATTTCAAAGACAAATACCTGCTCCACATACACCTTGGTTCTTAGTGACAGTTGGGTTTCTGCTTACCCTTTCTGCTACAGAAAAAAACATAATTTTCCTTTAAGTTACAAAATGATAACCAATGTGAACCAATGCATCACAGCATTTACGTGATGCAGCCCTTATTTAGTGGCAACATCTAAAGTCTTTGGTATGTAGATTGGTATGTAGATACTCAAAGCTTTTCCTAGAAGTTCACAACCAGAAACACTGCTAGTCTTTGGAGGCTGAAAAAAAGTGTGAAGGTGTCCAGCTACACTCTCTAAGTGTCCCACAAACAGTAAAAACTGTTTGTGTTACTGCCCTTTAACAGAACAATCTGTTAAGTGATGAAAGCCTGATGTTAACCTCATATTATTTTCTATTAATCCGCTGAAGTTAGTACAGCTCTAAGATCAGTGCAGAAGAAAGCAAAGAAAGGAGCAGTTCTTGTGCATGGTTCTTAGCCATCTCTCATCTGTGTGCTAGCATGCATTGCTGAAGTACCTGAAAACATGCCTGTACAGTGCTGCTCAGCTGGAATTTTGATGATCACCTCCATGCTCCCACAAACAGGCATTTGGAAAATCAGGGCTGTTCCCCCCCCCCCCCCCCCCCCCAGTGTTGTTCTGTTAAACCTCTGTTGTATTATACAAATGCATATGTGCACTCACAATCCTTGTACATATCAGTCAGCTACAAAGCATTACAACCAGAACTGGATTCAATTATAATGACAAGAAATGAGATTGATGTTTCCAGTCATTCATCCTCAGAAGACGTAAAATGAAACAAACAAAAAAAAAAAAAAAAAAAACAAAGGAGAAGTAAAATGAAGATTCAAGCTAACAGCCTTTAAGTCTCATGCTTGGAAGAGGAAAACAAAATGGAAGACTATAGCTGTTTGAATTCTGCAAAGCACTGGGGAGAAAAAGATACGTCTTAACTAGAAGACCAGAGCATCAAAAGCATACACAGTATTTCAGAGACTAATGACACTATTAAGAGCTACAGTACATTGAAGAGGTTTTATACAGGATATTCTGGTTTAATCTTCTGGAAAGGGACCTATTTCATATGCATCAAAATCGTTCTGACAACCCACTATTCATGAACTAAATTATGGAAACTCCAATTGCACCATAATTGCACAAGTTTTCTAATCCAGATCACTCAGGCACAAAAAAAAAAAAAATCTAACAAAAGTATTTTGGTTCAGTTACATACAACAAGGAAAAAACAGATACTCATTCATTAAAATCAGCTTCCAATAAAAATATTTAAGCAGAAGCGGTGATAGGCTGAAAACATCAGAGTAATCGAGTTGGGGCGGGAGGAGAACTTGACACAAGTAAAAAATAATTTGGAAAGTTTATACACTATGGTTGGCCTAAAGCTGCATGGAACTTCAGCTGATAACTCAGGAATTCCAATTCAGTCTTGCTCTAGTTTCCTTTATTACTTCCCTGACATATTCTTGCTTTATTTTTCCCAAATTGAAAACTGCTTAAGAACTAGCCTTGATTAAGTCTGTGAGGCACCTCAATCTTTAAATGTTTGATAACTAATGTGTAATAAGCTCTAATGAGAATTCACCAAAATATGGAAGATAATATTGACATAAATTGTTAAGTAGTTTTAGCAAACAAATTCTTCATTCTAGTACAAAGCTTTTTTTGTAAATAAGATACCATCTCTTCCAGGTTTTGTTCCTGCAAACAGCACTTCATAAAAGATTCAAAACACAAGCCATTTAATGATAAATCAAAAGCAAGCAAGAAAAAAATATGCTACATAATTATATTAAATTTGCACATTGTTTTCATCAGAAAATGCAGATTAGGAGTCAACTGAGAAGATTAGAACAAGGAAGCTGTGAGCTGAACAAGTAATTAATTGTATCTTTGCAACTGCCTAATACAGCACTACCACTCGACTACATGCTATGAAGTCTCATTTTTACTAACCCTTCGACAGTCTAGTGGCAATTCAACTGGGAGTGCTTTCAAAACATATAGAGTTCAATATATTTGTTCACACCGTAGAGCGGTTGCATGCAAATGTTAATAAAATGTATTTTTAAAACGAAGAGACATTACTATCCTACAGCTTACATTTTTCCTATTCTGGGAAACTTAAAGGTGAGAGAAAAGCATTCTAAATATCAGAACAATATGCACAGTGGAGGCTTCAGTAATTCCAAGTGATTACAAAAAAATATATTGTAATATAGGGTAGTTTTGACTTAATTATTAACAAATAAAATAGTTTTATTTATGGTTTAAAGCCAGTAACAAGAAGCTGGGGTTCTGAGATTTGTTAATTCGTTTTGCTACAGTTCATTATAAACTGATTCTTGTGCATACTCTAATAGATTTCAGTGGCAGGCATACAGAAGATGAAAGGAAGAGAACAGACCTCCACGTGTGCCCTGATTTTACTTTATGTTTATTAACTGCTAATATTGAAGTTAAGAGTTCTATCTTCCATTTAAAGTTATCGACCCAAATGTTTGAGTAATGTTTTATTTAAGTGGAATAGTTGAATTGCAAAGGCCCCAGGTGTAGCAGTTACAGTGTAAATATCTGAAAGAACTTGCAACTTATCTTCTAAAGGTCAGCGCTACTTTCAATTTGCTTTCCTGCTTTAAAGCTTAAAGTAATTCCATTTAAAAATAAATAATGAACACTTAATAGATCTTACTTACTCTGCCAGTCCCAGTATTGTTTCTCTCTTGTACTGTCCATCTGCTGTAAACCTCTGCACATCTACTCCTTTGCCAAGTCCTTGCAGAATCTGAGCTTGAGTGAAATCCAGCAGTCGTTCATTGTAGTAATGCAAGTGATTTATCAAAGTTGCAATTTCTTCAGGCCACTCTTTATAGCCATACTGAGTAACATGCTGTGTGACCATCTTAATCAACTCTTTTGGATCAGCCTGTAAAAATAATTGGAAAACACATTTGAAAATATCCTACGTGTTCCTTTAAAAAAATTACCATTTTATAATTGATTCCAGTGTTCAAAATTGAAATATTTTTCCATTTTTGAGAAATCTTAAGTACATAAGTATTGCAAGATGTAAGGAGTACTCACTATGACTTTAAAACCTGTCCTGAAATGTTTTAGAGTTATGCTATATGCTACAAGAACTCACACTAACTTACCTAAACGTACTAAGATTAAAAGTATGTCACTGTGACTGAATTTGTTTTTAAAAAACTCATTTTTATTACTATTAAGCTAGACAACTGATTTATAAAACTTATAAAGTTTTTCTTCATAAAATTTATAAAGAAACTCTGCAAATCTCTCAGTCACAAAACTACAAATAAGTTTATTCATAAATACAGACTACCTCAAAAGAAAAAATGGAAGCAATACCACTGAGTCTTTTTTTGTTGTTGTTTGGTTTGGTTTAAATTGCTGATTTTCTGATATACTTTTATTTTGCAGAATTGACAAAAGGCAGCATTTTCAATATCAAGCACTGGTACTTTCAAAGACCAAGAAGTGTTGCAAGATCTGCAAATTACACACAAGACATATTGCCTACACACATTCGTTTTGTACATTAAATGCTGAAATCTTCAAGTAATTAAATATTGATCATCTACTGGTTAGGATAACCTTTGTTTACAGAATAACTTTAATCACAAGGAAAACTTACTTTTCTGCATCAAGTGCATATTTAATCCATCACTAACTTCTGTAGTCAAAAGCCCGCGTAGCGAATTAGAACATGAACCAAATACAGTAAACATGTTTGAAATGGAAAAGGAATATGTGCATTACAAAGAGTTTCCAATTACCTCTGGGTAATTGGCTAATCTGGGCAGTGGCTACGTCTAAGCCCCTTCACTAGAACAAAGCTGTGTCTGATACATCACTCAACATGATCAAAGCCTTCTCTCTTCCAGAAGCTGCAATGCCTACAAGGCAGCACCACGACTTCTGTGTCAAACCCACTGAGGATGGAGTGCTGCCTACAGTGTCCCAGCACCTAATACTGAACTGCATTGCTTTACAGTGAACAGCCACTTAGAAATACCTTGGGATGCCAACTGTACGTACAAAATTTTCTAAAATAACTGATTTAACTATTGTGATCATAAATATTTTGAAAATAATGGACAATGTACTTTGCTTTTATTATTAAAGACTGGTTCTGTTAAATTAAAATCTAAAACTTACAAACATGAACTACAGTGTACAGCAAATTAAAAATGTATAAAACATCTGAACCTTGAGACACGCTTGAACTTCTCTGTGGTTTGATGGTCATTCTAAATTGATTTATTTTTTTTCGCCTTTTCAAGTCTTAACTGACACACTGCTCACAAAGTCATATTAAATGCTACAGGGCATCCTTTTTCCTCTCCACATGATATTTTTTCTGAAGCCCTCTAAACACTGCAAACTCAGATTTTATAAACAACATCAGTAGTTCTTTCAAGGTTGTTTAAGAGATTGGTAACAGAATAATAAAACCTCAGAAAAGAGATAGGCTGGCAGAGCACTGCCTCTACAATGCAATTACACTGGCTGGAAACCAATACACTGCTGCTTATTATATACCCTGGTATCTAATTTTAGGTGATACACTAGAAAACAAAGCACTGGAAACAGGAAAAATCAGAGCAAGATGAGGAAAACTGTTTAACATAATTGCCTCAATCCTCTGTGCAATCCACTAGGAAAGGCAGGTGCCTCTGACAACCTCTGTGGCTAAGTTTGGTCTCTTCAGCTAGGTTCCCCCTCTCTCCATGAAGAAAAGCAGAGTCTAATGTCAGCAGTCTTCTTCCTTTGCACAGCACACGGGATTATTCATGAAGTACACAAAGACAATCTTGAAAATATTTTCAAACACCTGTCAGAACAATTCCTTGAAAAATTGCTTCTGAAGATGAGAAGACAACACTTTTTATTAAGTTTCCTGCACAGCACCAAGTTTTTCACAGTGAGGCTGAATATAACTTGAATATTTACAACAGTAACTTATAAATAATATTAAGGCAGATTGAAAACACTTTACTTTTATTCCACCTTTATCTTCAACACACTGGCCCAACACAGGCTATAAATTTGAAATTCCTCTTTTAAAAACAAATTCTGCCACTTGACTTCCAAACACATTATTCTGACCAAGTTGCAGCCCCTCATCTGACATCTGTCATTGATGCCAACCTTCATTCTTTATGTGTCACATCTCCCTAAAGGCACCTTTGTGCTATCCTCCACATTGCCTGTTCATGCTTCAAAGGAGCACCTTAAGGCTATCTAATCAGCTTATCATTCTCCTGCTAGTACTTTTGCCAAATAATACCTAAAAATAAGCCTGCAGTTCTGCCAAGACTGCCATATATCAAACTAGTAAATACATTTTTCACTGTTTTTCTTATCTGAACCTCTTCTATCTTGTTTCAATATCAAGCTGTAACTGAAGTAAAATAAAAAAACTGGATCAAGGACAATTACAAGGACTGAACTTCTGAACTTCTTAATGACATAATTAAAGATCAATATGATTGTTCCCTGTACAAATACCCATGTATGTGTATCTTTATATGTGTAATACAAAAAAGTTCATCACATTCCTCTAGCTAAGCAACTGAAGTATGAAATCTAATAGCTGGTAAGTTAGGATATACACATTAAAGCAAAAGAAAACAATTGTTTTTGTTGTTTTCTTTATTAATTGGGATCCTTTGTCAAGGATTGTGTTGAACTCTCTCCACCACTAGAGATCTTTCAATCAACTGTTGCCCCTTCCATCCCCTACAAGGCTTAGACCCTGAACTATCCAAGTATGTGAAATCAAAAATTAGAGAAATCCCACAGCCTGCTCCATGCAATAGCCTATAGGGGATATCAGTGAGTCCTTATACTTGTTTTTTTTAATCCATGAAAACTTTTTTCCTGAGTTGCATTTGTTTGCAAAACTCACACACAGTGTAAATGAATCATACAGTTTTTCTTCTGTCCGATTTGTCATCTTTGTCACAGTTTTAAAATGCTTTCTTAAAAAATAATGTTGCTTGTGCAGCAATTATTAGGCATTCGAGACAAGCTCACTGAGAAAACACAGCTGAAGCGTTCAGTATCGAACTGTTCAGAACTTGCATTTAATAGCCTTAAATAATCATTAACATTTCCACATTTTAATAAGATAACTTTATGAAAATAAAAACACAAATACTTCTGCATCCATTAGATACCTAGTTCAAATAGACAGAATGCTGTATTATGCTTATGTGGCAAGGCTTTGGTAGCAGCAAGCTGCAGGGGTGGCCTCTGTGAGCAGAACCCAAAAATGCCACAGATCATAGAATCATAGGATCATAGAATGGCTTGGGTGGCAAAGGAACCTTAGAGATCATCTAACTCCAACCCCCCTTCCACGGACAGGGATGCCACCCACTAGATCTGGTTGCCCACAGCCTCATCCAACCTAGTCTTCAACACCTCCAGGGACTGGGCATCCACAGCTTCTTTGGGCAACCTGTTCCAGTGCCTCACCACTCTCTGAATCAAGAATTTCCTCCTAACCTCTCATCTAAATCTCCCCTTTTTGGTTTAAAATCATTCCCCCTTGTCCTATCACTACACTCCCTGACAAAGAGTCCCTCCCTAGCTTTCCGGTAACATAAACTCCTTGAATGTGACCATCCAGCCAATTCCTTAGCCATCAAGTGGTCCATCCATCAAATCCATGTCTCTACAATTTAGAGACAAGTATATCATGGGGGACAGGGTGAAATGCCTTGCACAAGTCCAGGTAGAGGATGGCAGTTGCTACTCTCCTCTCCACCAACACTGTAACCCCGTCGTAGAAGGCCACTGGATTTGGCAGGCATGATCTGCCCTTAGTGAAGCCATGTTGGCTGTCACCAATCACCTCCTTTTTCTTTCACATCCCTTTAAAATGCTGCTTTCAGCCATACACATTAAGAAAAAAAAGGGGAATATGAGTCAGTCTTTCTCCTGTTCCTCTCCTGAAGTGGCAACAATTTTACAGCTACGGTAAAAGTAATGATAATGATAATAAAAAGACAGCTTTCATGTAAGTGCGTCATTGATGACATTAGAGCATGATAAGCTATGTAGCCTGTTTACTTATTTTAAGACCAATAATCTTTCAAACTGTTCTAAAAAGGAGCATTTTTTGCCTTTTTTTTTTTTTAGTGTAAATGATCTTCAGATTGCAATACAGAAATGACTAGGAACATTGATGAGAAAAGCTGCCAAGATCATATAGGCTAATCTGCTCATAATCACCATGAATGCATAACTGATTTTGCAGACCTTTCTGGAGTAATGTAATGATTAAAAGGTAATGATCAAAAGCTGCAAACATAGTGAGACATTGGAATCTGAATGGAAAGACGAAGAATGTTTTAGTTGTGGCGGATTCTTGTAATACCAGATTTGTTTCAAAACATTTTAAGTGATCTGAAGAAAAAGATAATGCTACAGAGGAAGCCACATACACCACCCAAAACCCTAACAGTTAGTAAACCCAGGAGATGATGGTACATGAGCAAAACAAGATACCAGAGTGAAGGGCATGAAATTCCTGCTACAGACACTGGTGCACACTGATCATCATCCCTGCCTCTAGTTGCTGCCAATGTGCAGTGCTTCTATGCAAACCACACCTCTGGAAAGCACTGATACATTTCAGGGAGGAGAGGAGAGTTCTTCTTTAATCCTTGCTTGCAGCAAAAGCCACAATCCCTGTAGCAAGAGATTCAATGTGCTACAAATCTGATCCAAACAAATATAAAAGAAAAAAAGAGACACAAGCAAAAGCTTTTTTTTTTTTCCCCCAAGTACTGAAGCTGGGAAAGAAAAAAAAAGGTTTATAGGAAAGAAAGTTTACCTATGCCTGTTTACTCAAGAAGTAAAATCCATCCCTTTATAGGATGCCTTTTCATT